TTTTTTTTGAAAAAAAGAAGAAGATTAATAGTGGTTCTTCACTTACTTTTTGTATGACTTGAATCGAAACTTATTGGTCTAAAATGAATAGCGCTACCAACTGATGTTACCCCTTCTCGTCATGAACGCGGTGAGAATTTGCCTCTAAGTTTTGGGTCCCAAAACAGTTTATATTAGTATATGGTTTTAAAAATATTTTACAAAATAAATATTTAATATCTAATAACATAATTAGATTTGATTACCTAATTAAATTAGTGGACTATGAAAATTATTTTTTTAAAAAAATTAGTTGTTCGATATGTTAAATATTAAAATTAAAATTATTTATTTTAAAACGCTCATATTTTGTGATATCATAGCAATATTTTTAAATCTAAAAAACTATTTTTAGACACAACTTACCAAACAATAAAATTGCATGTTCTATTCAAACCTTCAATTTACTTTTTTTTTTTTTCAAAAATGATAGATATTCTCATTGATAATAAACCGAGTTCAAATACAAATGAATGAGCTAAGCCGACTACATGGAGAGCCACTCGCAGGTAGTCTAGTACAATAACACAACTAAACAAATGGAAACTTAAGTGGTTAAACTATAAACCAACCGAGACTCAAGTCCCCAAACCAATGAGTAAAAAATGAAAGAAGATGAAAGAAATTGGACTTCCACTGACCCTGAGGGGTCCTAGACCATCCAAATTAATACCTTCTTCCTTCCAGTTGTGATTGCCGGCTGATCTCTGTAAATTCAATCCATTCTCTAACTGTTGCTTCAACAATGAGATGAGCCGGTCTGTCAGAACCTTCAAATACCCACAAGTTTCTTGACTTCCAAAGCCACCAAAGAATGTACGTGGATAATTGTATGCGGACTTCAGAAGTATCCTTATAATTCATCTGAGAGATGTGCCACCACTAGGCTTTGACAAAATCTAATCTTTGTATCTCATCCCAATTATCAGGAGCTAATTTCTACATTAATTCTGCTTTAGGACATGAAAATAAGATATGTACTACTGTTTCCTCAGCAATACCACACAATTTACAAATACAGTCAACATCCATCCTTCTTTTTTTCAAATTAACTCCCACATGTAAGATTCCAGAAACACATTTCCTTAAAAAGTGTTTGATCTTACCTTTTATTCTTAGCTTCCAGAGCCTGGTTCTAGCATGCTTGTCCCTAATGTGGTCTGAGTTGGTCTGTGCTTTATCCATTTTCAGGAGCTTTTGCTGCATAAAGAAAGCATAGGAATTGGATACTGAAAACTTCCCTTTCTTATCTTGAGTCCATATCCATTCATCCTCAACATCAGGTTCTAGGGTGGTAATTTTCTGAATAGCATTACAAACTTCATCAGAAAAATTTTGTTGAAGGATGTGAGTATCCCAGTTCCTGCCATCATGTGTAACAAGCTGGTTAACCCAAGTCAAGTTTGCTCCTGCACTAGGTTTGAATCTCAACCTTTGACCACCAAGATTAGGCACCCAAAATTCCTCCAATATTCTAGTACCCTTTCCATTTCTGATTACAGATTACATCCACCTTCCACATTTTTCTTTCACTTTGAGCCATGAATTCCAGAGCCATGATGCATTGTCCTTCCTGTTTGGCAACAAAGATGGATGAGTCTGGAAAATATCTTAATTTTAGAACTCTACTTACCAGCAATTGTGGTTGTGTCAGGATTCTCTATACTTGCTATAAGAGCTTCATTAAAAGTCTGAATGTCTTGAATCCAAGTCCACCACAGGGTTTGGGCAATGTCATGTCATCCCAAGATTTTCAGTGTATTCCTCTTTGTGAGTTCTCCCCTTTGTTCTACCAGAACCCTGCACAAATACTTGCTATCTCCTTGCAGAGGCCTGAAGGATGTAGAAAACATGACATAGTGAAAACTGGAAGTGCATTGACTACATCTTTTATTAACACTTCTTTACCACCAGGGGAGAGCCATTTGTTATGCCAACTTTGAATTCTGCCTTTCACTGCAGAGAGGACATAATTAAAAGCAACTTTTTTAGATTTCCCCATTCCCATTGGTAGCCCCAGGTATCTAGAGGATAAATGCCATTTAATGCCTTGAAGTTCTTGGAAGCAAAGTTCTTGAACCTCCAGTAATGTGTTCTTGCTAAAGAAGATAGAAGACTTCTCTAGATTGACTTTTTGCCCTGTAAACAGCGGGTAATCTTAAAAATTTGGAGAAGTTTTTGGGCCTGATAAACCTCTGGTTTATAGAATATGAGCATATCATCTGCAAATAATAAATGTGTGAGCTCTGGGCCATTCCTTGTAATTTTAAGCACTTTAAATCCTCTTCTGGAAGCTTCTGATTCAAGTCTAGCAGACAACAATTCAGTGATTAGTATAAAGAGATAGGGGATAGAGGATCCCCCTGTCTCACCCCTCTGGTTGCTGAAATATACCCACATGGCAGCCCTTTAAGATTAAAAGAGAAAGTAGGAGCAGTAATACATGCCATGATCCATTTGACAAAAATAGGATGGAATCCCATTTTTAACACTGTTAGCTGAATGCTCTTCCATTTTATTCTATCAAATGCTTTGACCATGTCCAATTTTAATGCCATAAAACAATGTTTATCACTTATGTGTCTGTTGAGGAAATACAGTACCTCATTTGCAATTACTACATTGTCTAGTAATTGCCTATCAGGCAGAAATGCTGCCTGGGTTTCAGAAATGCAGTTTGGTAGAACATTCTTCAATCTCAGAGCAAGAATTTTTGAAATAATTTTGTAAGAAACAAAACACAGACTTATTGGCCTGAATTGTGATATGGATGTGGGATTTGGACATTTTGGAACCAGAGTTATAAGGGTGTGCTTCTAGTACCTGAGCATTTGGCCATTTGCAAAAAAACTTTGAACAATTGAGCATATGCCATCTTTTACAATCGGCCAAAAATGTTGGTAAAAGAATGGTGACATGCCATCCTCTCCAGGAGTCTTGTTTCGGTGCATACTAAATAAAACTTTCTTCATATCTTCTTCCTGAACAGGAGAAAGGAGTTTTGCATTCATTGCTTCAGAAATTCTATTTGGTATCACAGGCAGCAATGTGTGTCCATGGGAAGATCCTTGTGAAGTATAGAGGTTTGAGTAATAATCAGTGATGATTCTCTCTATCTCCATTTGGTCTTCACAGAGTTCATTATTCTCATTGAGCAGTCTTTTAATGGCATTAATTTTCCTTCTTTGAAGTGTGTAAGCATGGAAAAACTTTGTATTGTTGTTGTCTCCCTCCTTCAGCCACAGGATTTTTGCTTTTTGTTTCCAGAAGATTCTCTCTAAACAGTGGGCTTCTTCCAGTTCCTTCTTGATGCTGTCCCATTTTGCCCAATTTCTTTCCCCACCTTCCTTCCTCATCTCCTCCAATGTTAGAGATAGTGAGGAGATTTTGTTTTTGCTTAAAGCTCTGAAGTGTTTACTCTTAATTAGAAGGGTTGCTCTTGGTTTTTTGGTTTTTTCTTTAACAGTGAACATGGGGGTACCACTGATGTTAGAGTCCCAGGCTTTCCTGACCACCTGTTGTAATCCTTCTTGCCTTAGCCATCTTTTGTCAAATTGGAATCTTCTGCCTTTGATTGAGATTGCTGCTTGGTGGAGATAATGAGCATGTGATGGTCAGATGCACTACTACATGGACTGGTAGCTTGAGTGTTTGGATAGGAGGCTAGCCATTCAAGAGAGGCAAACAGTCTATCCAGCCTTTCCTCCACAAAGCATTCCCCTCCATATTATTTCCTCAGGTAAAGTAATAGACCTTTGCTAAGACATCCTGCATTCCCATCTCTGCTACAAAGTTCCTGAAGCCTACTAGACTGTGTTCAGTTCTGTGCCTGTCCCCTTTTTATCTGAGGATTGAATGATGTCCTTCCAATCTTCTACAATGCTCCATC